CAGCAGTTGATATTTATTTATTAGATTTATATCCCACCTTTTTCTTTTTTAAAGACCTCACAATGGCTTGCATCATTCTCCTACTACTACTCTTAGTCTTATCCCCGCAACAACCACCCTGTGAGGCAGGTTGGGATGAGAGTCTGTGAAGGGCTCAAAGTCACCCAGTTGGCTCCATGGCTGAGCAGGGACTAGAACCCAGATCGCCGGAGTCCTAGCCTTGCTCTCTTAACTGCTACACCACATTGGCCCTCCAGTGTGTTTCACTGGTTGAAATTGCCTAGTTTGGAATACATTTGGTGCACAATCCCAGACAAGTTTGGACAGAAAAAGGTCCTACAACCCCCGGCATGCCTCAGACAATACATTTATGATTTATCCATTGTTAGAACAGATAAGTTAAGTCTCAGCTTATGAAGAAAACTCTGGAGAGTGACTGTCAATCAAGGTGTGGGTACTTGGATGGCACACTCCAGAGCTGCCAGGCACATGGGCAGGAAATGTGCTGGGAACATCTAAGGATATACCAGGGAGGAAGAGCGGATGCAGAACAGTCAGAACTAGTAGCAGACAAACACAGTAATAAACTGACACAGTCTTCCCCAACCTAAACCCTCCAGTTGTGTTGGACTTCAGCTCCGGGCAACCTCCAGAAAACATGGCTGGTTATGGAGTGCTGAGACTCACAGTCTAGCACCTTGAAGGATCCCAGGTTCTGGCCTAATATGATTCAAGTTATTTAACTGTATTCAGTAGTAACAAACGAGATTGTACATTTCTCTGCCCAAGAATATCTTAAATGTTCCTAGCATGATTCAAAGATGTACCTCGGCACTAACTGGCCAGAATGTTTCTTACATAATCGAGAGCTATTCTGCTTTTTCGTCCATCTCCACAAGTGGCCTAAAGCAGCCTTCACAAATTTGGTGCCCTCCAAATGGTTTGAATTGCAGCTTCCATCTGCCCCAACCAACATGTCCAATAGTAAGGAATACTGATGGTTGTAGTCCAAAGTATCATGCTAAGGAAGGCTAATCTGGACAGAGAAATTACCTGCCCTGGTCATTTGTTTATATATTGGGAGACCCATGACTATGAAAGGCAGAGTTGTGATGTTGTTCCCCCACCACGGTCAAAAGGTGTCTCTGGTAAGTTGACGGTACGGCGTTGCCTCTTCTTGCCCTTAAACTCCCACACCCCTCCAGCACAGGTGTCCAGTATACCAGTCGCCAACTCACTCTTCCAGTATTGGTAGCCAGACTACCATGATTCATGCAGAAGAGAGAAGCATCAGGAGGTTCAGGAAAACACCAAGGGTTGAGAAAGTAGAAAATCCCTCTGAAAGTGTTAGAAATGGAATAAAATTCATATGGGGATACTTCAGAAAAACTTTGGATACTCTTAAAATACTTGTAATATTATGTACATAGATAGAAAATATATTAAATAAATAAAGATTTTTTTTTTTTAAAAAAAGACATCTGTTTGACCTTGGTGGGGCAAAGTAGCACATCACTGCCTTCCATAACTGTAAATCTCATAACATGCCACCTTATTTGAATAAGTATACCCCCCCCCGCCAAAAAAACCCCAAATGGGGCCCTCATTGGGAAGAACCACAGATCAATTTGGTGGAAATTGAGCATACTCAACAGGTATGGGATACTGAATCGCCTTGGGTTTTTTTGAATGTGTTTGTGTGTATGGAATGCAGTATCCTGCAGAAGGGTGTGACTGGCAGGCCAGAATCATGTACAAGCAGCCCACTACACTGCAACTTTTCTTATAGGTCTCCCTAGTCAAAACACTAATGGAAATTAATATGCTTTTTACTGCAAGACAAATAGCATTTGGGAAACTGAGGCAGATCCAGCATTTGGGTAGCCCTTTCTGCACCATAAGAAAAGGAAAATCCCACACTCATGACTCTCATTTAGATTGTACTTTTGTTCTTCAGAGTCACTTTCCTCTCAGTCCAGAAGAAATACACACACACACAAATCCCACTGAAACCAATCATTAAAGAGGAAGCTAAATCAAGTCCGACTGATTTCTATGGGATTCAAGCAAATTGTGATATGCCTGAGATTAATTTCTCTTTTACATTGGTGGTGGTGGTGATTTGTTCACATATAAATATAGAAATTTACATGGAATTTTTTTGGTCAAATATAAAATCCTTCCCTTGTGGGTGAACTGGTGGGGGTGACGAATGTATCTTCTTTGATGTTCATTTCCTGCAACTAAAATTTCTTTCTAGAGTTCCAATGTTGTCCATAAATACTGAGGCTTCAGTCCCTCCCCATCTAAATACATAGGAGTTTTACCAGTTAATGATATAACAGTAGATCGTACCTCTTAGTTGTCAGAGGGGGATACATGGATTGGTGGGAGGAAAGCAATACCACCAGTCATAGAAACCCATGTAGAATGATCAAATTCCACAGCCCTACCTTGCCATCAAGCCTCATCTTACTTGCATGAGCAAACCTATCAGCATTCTAGTCCACACTTTCCTGTTTGGACATTGTGCATATGGAACTAATGGAAAATGAGAGTAGGAAACACTGGGGCACACACCCACAGGAGGCCGATACAAGATGCAACTTCACGAGTGCATCTTGAAACGAGTGCATAATAGCCTGCACTACGGATTTTGTTTCCCACTGTGCTTGTAAGCATTCCAGTCCAATGCAGGAAGCAGAACTTGTTCATGCACACAACCATGGGTCCTTGATTGTGATTTTGTTGGGTGACCCAGAGATTGCAAGTCTTTAGAAGTGATGTGGAACTGTTCTTTTGGGAAGTCTTGGGACCACTTATGGGAGAGCATTATGCTAACAGGCAGCTTTTATACAAATTTAATGCAAAAATACATAAATACACTTGACAATTTGGTCGTTTTGGACCATGCAGCAATATTTGGAAATCATGTAGGAAGAAAAGATAGTAGGTGGGTTGACATGCCATGACAACCCACGCTGCAGCAAAAACTGTGTGGTGTGGGTTGTCTGCCCAAGGTCCCACGGTGTGCCCAACAAGAAACAGGCATATGGTTGGTTTTTGGCCACCTCTTCCCCTTCCTTTCCCCTCAGTCTCCTGTAAGTATCTCAGGAGATCCCATGCCTCATTCTCTGCCACTGTGGCAGCAGTGAAATGGATTGGAGAAATGGGGGAGCAGGCATCAGTCCAGCTAAATGTCCTTCCAATGGCACCGCAGCATGGACTTTTGGCTTCACAACACTGGTGCAAGATAGGAGAGCTGGACCTGGGTCAGCCAACTCATGACTAGACTGACCTGATCCCCATGCCATGGCACTGATGTGAATCCTTTCAGGTCACGTTAAGGCAGGGCAGTGCCACTGGGACTGGGCGGCCAGCTTGCACATAAAACCACTTGATTTCTGCCCTGTACTACCTGTCATGTACCAAGGTTCCTCCCTCAAGCAGTCAAAAGCCACAGACTATTTTCCTTGCAAAACTTTCTTTATTGCTCCCAACTACAAATCACCCAGCACAGATCTCTGATCATACACAGCGAAGTTTGTTGAACCCAATCTAGTGTTTACCTCCAGGAACTCTCCTTATGCGTATGCATGGATCCCATCCCCTTGGGGGAGGTGTTTCTCAAGGTAAGCATGCCTCATCTCCATGCTCTGCTTATTCAATCAGGTCTCCTGCCGCTGCCGCTGCCTTGCCACAAGAGCCAAGAGTGGGCAGAGCAGGGCGTGCTGGTCTGCATCTGAGAATTCCTCATTCTCAGGGACCTCGCCCTCTGGATGTGCAGTTTGGTTGTTCCCAGAAACAGCCTGGCTCAGCCAAGCACCTGGCCTTGAGATACTCTTCTCCACCTCCTTTATCTCAGAATCTTGACCTAGCCCATCCTTCTCAATCTCACTGTAATCAGTTTCACGTTCCGATTCTGAATCATCTGGGATGCAGCCAGCAGTCCGTGAGAACGCTTGCCCAGGACTGCCATCCTTCTCACTCCCAACACCATCAGGACAAACACTTTTGTCTGCAGCGCAGTGGAGGTGGCTGTCAGCAGTGCTTGCTACCGGCTGGGAACAAATGGCAGGAAGTGTGGGAAATTGGAGCGCTCTCTCTGCTGCCTCTGCCTGCTGGAAAATGATGGCCATGGCAGGGAGCAGGGAAGCCTTGGGTACTTGGAGGCTTTTGCCAACTTTACTCTCTGGCTCGGTGCTGCCAAGAACAGCAAGGAGATGTTGCCACTGTTGCCAAGTGGCTCACTCGTTGTTGTGCTTGGCTCATGACAAATCAGGTCATCTGGGCTCAGATGACGTGACAATCCGTTGTGGGTCAGAGATACCCTACAATAGGCCATGAGTTCTTATCATGCAGAGTTTAAAAGACTACCCACCCTGTATAACCCACATATAACCCACTCACCATCGATGGCTATCCCTGGAGAGAATTTGTGTCCTGCAAACCCAGTCAGGGCTTAAATGGCCACCTTTTCTCAAGCTGTCGCTGGTGGTGGGTACCACAAGGACACTAATTTTTGGGGTAGCGATGTTTCAGCTGAGGTAATGGGTATCAGAACTTGAGGAAGAAGCTGAAGAGTGGCAAATTCCTTACTGCAGTGAATGTCATAATAGCAGCGGAGGGAATGTTTGAAGAAAGGAAAAGAAAGGAAAGCAGGAGGCATTGTTGCAAACTTCCCCACACACCAAAAATGAGGACGGCAGTATGGATTGAGTGTGTATCTGTTCAATACAGTAGCACTTGAAACAAAAATGAGCATATAGAATGAATGCCCCCTTTAGGCTTTGTAAGTGCCCCCTTTTAAAAAGTGGCCCCAACACCCCATGTATTTCCCATACAAAACCAGTGATGAACTCCTCCTCTAGCCAGTAAACAAGGCAACCAATTAATTCCTCCATAAATTTGGAGTTGCATGATACCCATATGTATGGTACCCTAACCCTCTTGGAGGAAAGGTAGGATTAAAAATTAATTAAAAGAAGAATCGTGCTCACCTGTCTTCGGTTAAGGAATAGGCTGAGCAGGCTGTCCCCACTTCTGTATTTCCCACACATCTCTGTAGCTACGAGTAGGAAGGGATCTGGACGATGCTTAGTTGCTACTTACTTCCTCCTAGGCCTGGGGAAGATGCTGCAAAACATGCCCCAAGCTTTGCTCATTGTCTGTCATCTCACTGCATCTGTCACAGAGAGCCAAATAGGAATTATTTTTACACTGGGGGAGAAACAGTCTGACAGATGCACAGGAGAGTTTAGATCTTTTTCCTCTGCAAAAAGTAGGCTGTCAAATCTCTCTGGGTGTTATTGCTGGCATTATCATAAACAGCGTCCTTTGCCTATTATCAGGTCACACGGATGCTTTCCCTGTTGCGTTGTTTCACAGCCAAAGCTGACAGCTCAGCATCTGTGCAGCAATGCCAACCTGAGAATTAAAATATCAGGAATCAAGAAAGAAAGCCTTCTACTTCTGCACAGCTAGATCTTCAGGGCCCTTCCCCATGATTCTGAGTGGGGATTGCTTAAAATAAAATTCTTGCATCCATGCTTGCCCCAGTGGAAAGTTTCTGAAGCATCTCCATCAGGTTCAGTTTGCACTGGATGAGAGGAGACTGGAGACGTGTGGTGTAATTGTAATATTTGCTTTACTTACACTAATACAAGCATAATATAAGTGGAAAGAAACAGGCACTCCTACAAGGTAGTTCCCCAAACAGAAATTTGTACACCCTGTCATCTGATTAAAATCTCTGTTTGCTTATTCTCTGCCTCTTCCAAAACTACCAACTGTTGTTTCTACAGCTCTGTGCCTGCTTCAATCCACAGGAAAAGTGTCAAGTTCTCCAACCTCTGGGGGGTACATCCTAGAGCTGAGTCAACATTTCTCAGAGAACCTTTTCCTAAGATTTATCCATTGTTATTCTCTCATATCACTACAAAAAAAAAAGTCACTTCACAGAAGTTTTTCTGAGCCTTCTCCCACAACCCCTCCCCACACACACACAATGCCAAAGAACATCAATAAGTCTGGGGCATTAAGAAAGATTCAGAAAAGCAAGTTTTCCTACTCAGCTGCTGTTGCAAGAAATAACAAGAAATAGGAGGGAAGAAACAGGTTGGGCTACTGCCCCTGCAAATGGTAAATTCCAGCCCTGAGAAACAGTTTCAGAATTTCTCTTCCTCTTAGAGAAAAGTGATGAAATGGCCAGTCCAATTTCCCTGTGCACAAGTGGGAGGGGAATTTGAAGAGCTATTTATTAGGAGTTCTCAACTCCCAGGAGAGGTCTCCAGCTACTGAAATAAGCTCCCATTGAGAAAACAACAAGAAATAATTCTGTGCTATTAACCTTTCCAACAGACACTAAGCCGTTTGAACAGTATTCGGGTTCAAAATGCATGTGTGTTGCTTTGTGAAATGCATGCATTTTTGGTGCTTTTCCCTTTAAAAGAACACCTGAGCCAGAAGACCACCCTCTCCACCCCCACCTCATGCCATACACGTGCATTATAACGGGGCATGTGCCAAAATGCATTTCCTCTCTGTTGTGATGCATGCATTTTAAACTTTGATATTGTTGCCAAGTACAAAATATTTTTCTGGGGACATTAGAGCAGCACATCAGGTGCAACATTTTACTAGACCTCCTAAGAACCCAATTAATCAGTCCTTTCCAATGTCAACTGTTCCTTCAAAAAGGATGGGTAGAGAAAAGACACTCAGTACCAATAGTGCAGGGGCTTTGGATTACCATTGATGACTTTGTGCTACATTGTAATATTTATTTCACATATTTCTATACCACCCTCTTTTTTGCACATACGCACGTAAGTTTACAAAGAAAATGCATGGGGGGAGCAATCCTATGACCTCTTGTTGGGGTCATAGGACTTCTGGGAGTCCCAACTCTGAGGTCAAAAACTCTGCTCCAACCTCACACCTTGAAATGGGAGCTCTGTCCAATTTCACTTCACCTCTGCCTCCTCATGGCCAGCACAGAAAGATTAAACCAGCTGCTTTGCAAAGTCAGGAAAGTAACCTTGGAGAGAGGGGAAAGCAGTCACTTTGAGGGGCAGAGAGGGGAGGAGACTGGAGTGGCCAGAGCCAGTGTGGTGTAGTGGTTAAGAGCATGGGAGTGGGACTCAGATGATCTGGGTTCTAGTCCCCGCTCAGCCATGGAGCCAACTGGGTGACTTTGGGCCAGTCACAGACTCTCAGCTCAACCTACCTCACAGGGTTGTTGTGGGGATAAGATGGAGGAGGAGATGTAAGCTGCCTTGAGCCCTTTGTAGGAAAAAGGCAGGATATAAATCAATCAATCAATCAATAAAATGTACCTTCCATATAGCCTGAAGTGTCTGATTCTGCCTAATCTTGTATGCTAAGCCTGGTCAGGCCTGGTTGAAATCTGGATGGACAACGCTGTGAATCACCCAGACAGCTTTGGCTAAAGGCAGTATAGAAACATAATCTAATGATACTATGAGCTGTCTTGATGACAGTTCAGGATCTTGCCCTCCTGCTCCAGCTAGACAGGAGAGAAAGCCCATGTGCCAGAAATTGCAGAGCTGGAGGATGTGGAGGTGAAGAACACCTCCACTGTTCGTCCCACTCACTTGATGTCCACAGGCCCCAAATCCAGGACTTCCTGCACTGCAATTGGATTGCATTCTAGGGTACAGTAAGACAAAGCCTTTAGAAAAACATTAAAACAAGCACTTACTGTGTGATAATTAATAAACAAACTGGACACACAATCAGTATGGGATGGGTCTCAGCTGCTGTAGCACTCAAGCTTTTGAAGGAATGGTTCAAATCGAGAACTGGCATGCTTTCCTCATGCCAGTAACAGGCTCACTGAATCAGGATGATGCCTTTTACCTGGTCAGGAGGTTTAGCCTTCTTGCCCAGTATTCTGAATGACAGAAGCGCTCCGGGATTTTAAAAAGAATCTTTCCCATTGCCTACTGCATGTTGTCTTTTAAATCAGAGATACAGAGGATTGTGCCAAGGAACTTCCACCTGCAAAAATGTGCTCTATCAATGAGGATTATATTTCCCCCATTACTATTTTTGCAAATGACGTCTTCTGCAACTGCTGTTCTAGCCATGAAGTCTTCACTTTGCATCTACCTCTGCCAGGAGCTCCCTAGCTTTCCGTAGGAAGTCGGTGTAGTGCAAGGGTTCCCAAACTTTCTGGATTCACTTGGGAATCTGACGAACTGTTGTGGGCACCACTACAAAATGTCTAATCAGGAGATCACCACCTTCATGTCTACAATTGCAACAATGGGAGTCAGGTTGTGCAAAAGTGTTTGTTTTGTCTCTATTGGATCTGCAGCATTGGTTTATAAAGTATTGACTCATTTGATTAATTTCTAGAGTAGTATAATACAGCTAATGGTTCTCTTAAACATATGTTTTGCTAATGTTGCCTCTTTTTGTGGGGAATACATTTTATACTGGAACACCCTTTAATATTCACAATTTACAATTTTAATTTATTTATCTGTTTCATTGAAATTAACCATTCATCAGCAGAAGCAGGGTTTTTTTTCCAGTATCCTTTTAGCAGCCGAAAACTGATACTATAATATTGAAAGAATAAATACTCATCTCCTACAACACATGGACTGAGGACAGTACTTTTAATATTAGAACAGATTGCATATACATCTGTTATATGCACCTTGAAATAGTTCCTTATTTAGATATTTGATCCACTTTGTTGAAGCCTACATATAATTGCTAGAACATCATTCCATACAAATCCATTTGCAGTTACATAAATTTGTAAACAATAAAATAAAACTTGTGAGCCAACAGGCATAATATTGGGGATACCTGGTCTAATTTCTCTCTCAGCATCAGTCCCTCACCCATCCACAGTTGGGGAATATTAATACTGGCCTGCCCCACAGGGTTGCTGTAAGAATTGTAAACTGATAATGCATGGAAGGAACCCTGAGCACTTGAAAATATATATCAAAGCTCAGTAATGTGAAGCTGATTAAGTTATGATTATCAAGTCCCTGAAAGTTCTACCCTTTCTAATGTGTCAAGTAACTGGCCAATCAGCACCTACCATTGCCTTTGTTCATGTTTGAGGCACAGTTCAGAAGAATTCATTCAGGGCTGCCCTGAACACTTTTGCACATCAGTGCAGATATGAAAGACACTTTAGTTCTTGCCCACAGATTCTTTTGAAGTAATCCACTCCATAAACACATACAGGCTGATAAACCTGACTTCAAAGTCAGAGGTCTTTTGTTTATACCATTTTAGCAACATCTCTTTCACCCAACATTTTCAAACTAGCTGTCCTTCACAAGTTCCACAGGACTAACACTAGCAGTATTCAAAACAAATTTGGTTTGAATTAGAATTCTGGATCCATCACAGCAAAAGAAAGGATAATTGGAGAGTATCTATTTCATAAGGCATATTCTTGCTACCAAGATGCAGATATAGAAGTCTGGAAGCAACTCCAATCTTTTTGAAAGAAGAATCTGGCCTTGGTAATAAATAATAATCTGGCTCCTTTAAAAACAAAAACTTGTAGAGTGTACCCTGTGAAGTGCTTTTTAAAGCTATTCCTGATCATATCTGAATCCCAATGAACTATATGCAAGGCTAAGTAAAATCCTCTCCCCAAGGCTTTCCTGCAGCATGCAAAATGCAGAAGAGGTACTATGGTGTATAGTTTTCCATTCCCCTCCCTTTAAATTCCTTTTTCAGCAAAAGAGAGGGGCATCCTCAGGAGGGCTCTTATTTCCCTTCCAGCCCAGCAGTCTTTCTCTTGGATGGTTTTGCTCGTTATGTTCACATTTATAAACACCTGAAGCATCGTGGTGCCATGCTGATGCTAAAAAGCAGGCATTCTGTATTGTGGCAGCATTGAACTGCTTCTGAATTCATTTCTTATTAGAGCTCAGTCATTCGTAAAGCTTCCAAAAATGCAATGTGATGCAATCTATTGCAGCATAATCCTCTTTTCCTTCCCTTTCTTTTTTTTACTTTCTCTTTATTATTGAGGCAAATTTGACAGGCTAAAGCACAATTCTGTTATGAGTTGAGAAGGACGCTCCCATCTGTCCAAACTTTCATTTAATTAGCCAAGCCAGAACAGGCATCAAGACACTTGCTCCTTATTTTATTTTATTATATTTTATTATATTTTATTTTATTTTATTTATGTTGGTGCAAAGCTGAACTGTGCTGTTCTCATGGATTGGCTTTCTGTCTATTATTCTGAAAGACAGTGAAAAGTTCTCAGGATTGTCTGTGTAAAAAAAGACAAAGTCATGCATGGCTATCCATGTGTGATGAGTTGAGGCATCTCCCATTTTCAAACTGTGTGCTTTTTACTCACTTTGCATGGACAGCTGTACCCATGGCTGTCCAAAGCAGCAATTTTGTTTCTCCATCACTTGAACTGAAGGAGAAAAGCAGATGCAAGACTCATGTGTAATCCTGTCTCCTTCGCATCAGGAGTTAGCTTACACTGAGAGCAGATTCTCATACACACTTCAGTGCATACAGGCTGTGAAAAAATACCTTTCCCATGTTGATTTCCAGCTGCTCTCACTTCATGGTCCAAGATCACATTCACGACTTAGCTTTTGATATGAAACCACTATCCATATTTGCTGCATGTCCCCTCTTTTGGCACGGTGAAGTTGCTGAGCTTTCACAGAAGGGCCGTTGATGTAGCAGCGCTACACTTGTGGAACATCCTCCTCTGAATGGCCTCTTCTTTAGTGACCTCTGATGCGAAAGACAATATTATTTGGCTGACTGGTTAAACAGTGAATGCCACTTGTAATCTCTAAGCCAGTTTGAAAATACAATTAAGGTCTTTGTATCTGTGCATTTTTATTGTATGTCACCTTGAGCACCCATTGAGTGGAAAGATGATTCAAAAAATCTCAGATAAATCAATCTTTATATTAGTATGTATGCATTATTAATATTTATGAATTATTAATATTAACGGCTAGTTAATATTTATTGTTATGGCTTAAACCTGGGTGTGCCACTGGCTGCTCAAGGCTACCTTGCCAAGGGCAGGAGTCCATGTGGACAAAGTGTTGCTTTCCTCCATGCACCAGACTAGTTGTCGGAACAGGCATAGAGGCATTCGATTGTACCCAGTCGTCATATAATTTAACTCCAATTCATTTAAATGGGCCTACTCTATGCAGAAGTTGGATTCAAACTGAAAGTAGGAATATTTCCTAGCCCTCTTCTTGGATTACCATCATTAGAAGTTCCTAGGCACTAGTATACACATGTAGATTATGCCATGCTACTGGGCCACGCCCTCCATTATTTCACAGATAAAAATACAATTGCAACATTCCTATTCTTCCACCAGGAATCTGTGCCCAATTGCAACTTAACTCTCTTCCATACTGCTGAGGTATTGACTCTGCCTCTTGCATGTTGTACGCATCTTCTCCGTGTTTACCTGTCTTCCACTGATTCTTTTGGTTAAACGGGTATAGTTGAAAAAATGTAATTGTTCTGTGGTTATGTATCACCATATGAATTGTGCCTTGATCTAGCTAAACAAATATCCCTCAGAATTTTGTAGATGTGGTCACAACTAGAAAGGCTCTGTCTCTCATGCCTGCCGCAAAAGCTCACATAACTGAGAAAAAAGTTAAGTCTAAATCACAGCAATGCAGAAGAAGTGAGCAGACTAAGTGATTGCTCTCATTCTGACTGAGAATTGATCTGAATGAGACTGTGCAGACTTTTTCTATTGCACTTAGAATGCCATAATGGTCAAGCGTGGCAAGCAAGACTCCTTACCCTTGACAGCTTTTCCTGCTGTTGTTTAATTGAGTTATTTAGGGCTTTGCTGGGTGTCTCCACCTTTAGCTATCCCATATTCAACTGCTGGGTACTTTTGAGAAAAGGTGAAATGTATATAAATGGCTGGCAGAACCCTGAGGGTTACCAGCAGTGAAGAATAAATGAAAAATTTTGCAATCCTCTTAAAAATAAAAAAAGATGGGAGGAAGGAAAGGAGAGAGCAAGACACAAAAGAGTCAATCCAGGTGCCGTTCCTGCTTGCTGGCTGTTTAAGTATTCCAAGGATAACAAGGTGCAGCCAACTGTGCTGTTTACTCAACACTCTCTGGCAGCCCCCTCCCCAACCCTTTTTTTTTTTTTTTTGGCATTTCCAAGACAAACAGAATTAGTGGCATCGGCTCACTACAAGGGGAAACACTGATCAACAAAGAGCATTGCATGGCATCAGACACAGGAGATGCAAAGAAAAAATGGCAAGATGTAAGTGTTTAAAACAAGTAAGGCACAAACATAAAAAGTATGTAAATATATACTTTCAGCCTGTGTATTCTGCTTCCTTTTAAGTCAGGCTGGGCCCAGCAGGCACTCTGACACAGATGCTTCTTTTCTATTTGCGAAAAGAAATTAATGAAAATAAAATACTAAAATGCACTGTATGTGTGTTGGGGGTTTATGTGGTCCAAAACCTCCAGGCAACCAGTGGCAACTGCTTGAAGGTTCCTGGATGTTTTGTGTACCATCACCCCAATTTCCTCACCTGGGATCAACTCATAGCTTCACCACTGTCCACTCTGACCACATCACTGAATTTGCCACAAAAAAATAGCAACACAGTGATAAAAATGATTTATTTTTGAAGAAATGCTGCCCTTTTGCTACCACATTTGCACAGCCAAATTACAGCATCAAATTCACTGAGTTACAGGGGTGGAAAAATTCAGCTTTGGACCCTGAGAGATTGCTGACCCCTGAAATAGAGGAAAGGTGGGTAACAGGTAACTCTTCAGATATCTTGGCCTACAACTTCCATTAGGCAAAGCTATGGTTTTCCCAGTTGCAATGTATGGCTGTGAAAGCTGGACCATATGGAAGGCTGAGCGCTGAAGAATTGAGGCCTTTGAATTATGGCGCTGGAGAAGACTCCTGAGAATTTATTTATTTATTTAAAACATTTCTATGCCGCCCCCATCGCAACAAAGCCTCGGGCCAGCCCACAAAAAATACAAAAAAAACCATACATAAACAATAACAATATAACAATTTAAAAGAAAAAAAAATAAAACCCCCGGTGCATTCTCAGCTAATTTTAAATTAGAATCCCATGAACTGTGAAGAGATCAAACCAGTCAGTCCTAGAGGAGATCAACCTGACTGCTCTTTAGAAGGCCAGCTACTGAAGATGAAACTCAAATACTTTGGCCACCTAATGAGAAGGAAGGACTCACTGGAGAAGATCCTGATGCTGGGCACAATTGACGGCAAAAGCAGGAGGGGACAGCAGATGATGAGATGGCTGAATGGAATCACTGGGGCAGTGAGTGTGAGCTTGAGTGGACCCCAAGAGATGGTGGAGGACAGGAAGGCCTGGAGGAATGTTGTCCATGGGTTCGTGATGGGTAGGGCATGACTTTGCAACTAAACAACAACTTCCATCAGCCCTGAGCTGCACTGTCAGTACAGAATTATAGAAGTTTGAGGCTAAAATATCTGAAGAGCCTCAATTTTTCCACCCTGCTTGGAAGCAAGAGGGTGTGTGTGTGTGTGTGTATGCATGCACATGTCAGAGTATATATCCTACTTTTTCCCTCCTCGGAAAATGCAGGCACCTGATATCAGTTTTAGAAGTACCATGTAGTATCAGTAGTAGAGCCTCAAGAGAAATGAGTCATGAACATCAGTAAAACCTCAGGAAGCTGAACCCAGCAGAGGGCAGCTATGCAGAGCAGAGCTTTGGCTTACAAGATGTGGTGGGGCTCCTACTCTCTGTCTTGCAAAGTCTTCCTCATAATGCCAAATATGTGAGATGCCAGACAGTTGTGCCTCATAGTAAAGGAAGATGCTCCATATACATTCAAGAACACCCACAGATTCTAGAATTGGGCCATGCTATAAAGCAGCTAGTTTTGAACCTGTGGGCAGCCCCACTAAGTCCTGGATGAATGTAGGAAGAAGTACTACCAGGTAAGGTTAGCAAAAATCCCATTGTGGCAGGATCTAGAGATCAAGCAGTGCCAGTGAGTTCAAGCTGTACAATATCAACAGAAGAATTCTGATACTTCTCCTTGCTCTAGGAAACCTAGAATGTACCCTCCTGTATTTGGGCTATTCTTACCTACAACTACAGGTGCAAACAGTCATATTTTCACATAGTCATTCATAACTGATACATTCTGTCTTTGGCACATTTATAACCTGCCTCTCCTCCAAGAAGCTATCTATACTATCAATGGAAAAGCCAAGACTCAGCTATGAATATACAACTACTGTTCCATTAAGGCTGCACCCTTCACATGATCATTTGAAAAGGGATTCATTTGAGATGAGAAGAGCTCCAGGCAGATTCACATGACCCTCCCTGCCCTTGATGGCCTGTTCAGATCAAAGAAATAAAACTGGCATTGTTGAGTGTCAAGAGCTGAGCTGTGCTGATTTCAGTCTATGGCACTAGCATGCATCTGGCCAGGTCAGCCCATGGCATGATGATTAAATGCCTCAAGTTATGTTAGAAATGTTCCAGGGAATTATTCTCATTTTAAAGGAATAGTCTTTAAAGAGGAAAGTTCCAAAGAACAACCATCAAAGATCCATGTCCTCAAACTGACCTGCCAGCATGGAGCTACCTTTACCTAATGTGTACCCTGGCACTCTGCTGGTGGTCTGTGATTGGACAGTATACATTCTATGAGTTCTTCCTATAGAACTGCAAGGGAGTGAGGACTTTAGAGAAGTTCATAGGTGGCACATTATAGAAGTCTAGAAGAATTTTTTTGTGCAACTTTGGTGAACAAGAACATCTTGGTAGCCCTAGGAACTCTAATCCAGAATATCTTTAAGGAAACAAAGCATATATTGGAGAAAGTTTAGATGTTCCAACTTTTCACAGTGAAATTAGAGACAGTATTTTCACAGTTTAGGATGCAATTATTTGGCGGACACCCCTCAGAATATGTCACCACTATGACAGGGTACCAGCAAAACACTAAGAGTAGACTACTGGCTATTGTGTGGAATAAAATGTATTGAATGAATGAATGAATGAATGAATGAAGTAGCACTGTGACTTTTTTCCCATTATTTGCCTATTCATTGGGGAAGGCTGAAAAGAATTTGCAGGTGAAAATTGTGGGAAGAGGCAGGAATTGTTGAGAAGCCTCTCAGACTGCAGGGCTTCAGTGCTTACCTTACTGAAAAAGGGTAGCTGAGAAGTTTGAGTGTGCTCTTCATTTTACCATTTTTGCCCTGCTCTGCCTGGAAGATGAGCCAAGCATGTTGGATTTATTTTGTTGCTGTAAAGGTAATTTTGATCACAATAATAGCTCCTCACTCAGATTTCCGTCTGAGCACTGGAACATCTCAAGGAAAAAAAATCCCGCTTAAATCCTTTGTGAGGCTTTTCAGGAAATTCAAGCAGCCAAAGAAGCTGCAAAGACAGAATAAGATAATGATAAATATAAAATGCACATGGAGCCCTTAAGCATTTTGTAGAGTAGAATATGTACAGGACTTCTGCATGTTGATAAATTTCTCTGAAATTCTCAAAATTTCCAGGAAAGAGGCAGAAAAATGACTGCCTCTTTACAAGTAAATAAGGAGTTTGCAAATTTGTCTAATCCCCTTTCAAAGCCATGGGAATTGGTAGGCATCACAGTTTTGTGCTGGTGAGTTTCATATTTTGACTACATGATGCATGAAGAAGCACGTCCTTCTGTCCTGAATAGCCCCTCAGTCAGCTTCATTGTCCAATCCCACTTTAGAGTATTAGGAGAAAGGAGGAAAAGCTCTGCCAGTGGAATTGTCCTACCATTAAAGATGCACCAGCAGAATGGCCAAAGCACAACAGAGTCCCTGGGAGGAGCATGAGCCCATTCTCTCTCATACCATAGGAAGTGGGAACCTTCTGGATGTGAGCCATCTTGCCTCTCTCAGCGGCTGCCTTCAGAGGAGATCTTCTCCCTGCAGTCCAGGGAGGAAGAAAGGAGTCCCTGCTCAGTGACAGACTCACATGAATGCCCGCAACAACAGGCGTGCATGCATGTGGCTTGATATGGCACAACACAACAGCACACACTGACATGCATAAGTAGCAACATATACGCATACAAGCCTGAGCAGTGATAGACAAACACTCTGAGTGGTAACAGACAAAACCGCACAGACATGTGATGAGAAACAAGTACACTAACATGTGCATGTAGCAAAATACACATGTGCACATGCAAGCAGCAGATACATACATGTGCCTGCAACACAGCCATTCCCTCATGCAATGACACATGCACACATGAGCAGTGCCAGATACACACATCTCACGCAGAGACATGTGTGAACATGTGTGAGAGCACTGACAGACATGCGTGCATACACATGGTGACGCACACATGCAATAGTGACCTATGTACATGGACTCAAGGAAGGCAGGAAGGCAGGAGGTAGGCAAGCACCAGCTACCAAAGGTACATGCCAAGGCCTTTTCCTGCTTCTTCTGAGCAGAACTAAACTCAGTGATCCTCACATTTTGGCAGACTGGTACTTGGCCCTCAGGGGGAAACGGTGTGCCACCTTGGGGATGATGCAAGTGCATCCAGGCCTCAGGACCCAGGTGAGGAATGTCCTTCACCGGTTTGGTCTTGGTGTCTGACCAAGCGCTTCCAGGAGTGCAGGCAGCATGCCTTCCACTCTCAGGCTATACCTGTTTTTCCTAGCAGTGCAATTCCCCTCCCCTCTGTGGGAAAAATGAGTGGTTGTTCTGCTGGCAAAGCTGCAACACCTCTCTCTGCCCCACCAGCATAATTAGACTGCCCTTATTCTTACACCAAGAATCACAGTCTGATCCTTGCCCTCCCGCACGATGACATGTAGTGAAAGTCTCTCTTTACCTGCTCATTTATTCTCTAGGTCCATTTATTATTTAGGCAGGCAGGTCTTCTTGCTGACCATAAGAAAGGAAAGGCGAACACTGTCATTTTGGCTCTGGATGCATATGTTATGATGCATGTGCGCTAGAATCTAGTTGCACCCAACTGCCTCCTCCACAACTCCTGCATGGAGGAATTGAAAGCTGAAAATAGCAACTTCAGCAGCTCACAGTAACCCTTTCCTCTCCTTGGAAAATTTGTATCCAAAATCTTCGAACACAAAGACAATGAGGGATCAATTTACTAAGGATGGAAAATAAGAATTGTCCTGGTATTTATTTAAAGTATTGACAGACTGCATCTAATTCAAGATCTTAAAGCAGATCACCCACAAACAAAATAAGCATCACAATAAATACAAATTAAAAAATCAAGCATGTAAAATCTAAGTTATCAAGCCCTGCTTTAGTGATTAGGAAATGCCTGAGAGAAAGGTACCTTTCTAATCCATGATGAAAGGACATGTGTCCATTTCAAGAGAAGAAGGCAATTCAGAAAGACGAGTGTCACAAGGGAGGCATTTCTGTATACCTTCTAGTAAATTTTGATTATAGAAGCAGATAGCTTGCTCAGAAGAGGAGAGCAGAGGGGTTAAAGTGAGTAAACCAGAACCGCCAAATTATTTAGTATCAAAATTCAGAGTGTCCACATTGGCAACATCCTCAGTTGCCCCTGCTGACAACACTAAAGTGCACCTTTTTATTGCTATCTGCTGTGTGCTTATTTATGTGTATGGCACATAAATCTCTCCCATTAAACCCAGATGGTAAATACTGCAATAATAGGTTTATACAATGCTAATCCTACTTAGAGAAGACTCATTGAAGTGAATGGGAGTAAAGTAAAGTAGTTTAATTAATCTACTCATTTCAGAGTATAATCTAAGTAGGACTAACATTGGATACAATCCAAGGACTGTAGTGGCTGATTGTGTAAGCATTCCTGACTTAAAGATCAGTAGTGATATATCACCCTTTATCAGGCATAGCAGTTTTTAAGATGGTTGCTTATACATGACATATGCCTGACTGCAAGAGCAGAACTAGCTCATTTCTTCTCTTGGGTCAAACAAACCTTCCTGTTGACTTTAATTGGTACATGTTGGTATGAAGGATGCTCCAGTTCTGTGCATACAGGCAAGAACTGGGACTAGTCAGCACATGGAGGCAAGAGGTTCACACCTGCTCATCTGATTTCTTTCCTTCCCCTGCACATTGCCCGGACCTGTGCAGTACCCACACCAAGCTAGCGATCTCCTTGCAGTTATGCAGAGCACAGGTTGAAAGTGCAGCTTAGCCAATCAGCACATGCAAATCATGAGCAAGGCAAAGGAGACCAATCCCAATTCTTTCTTCACGTACTATTTCCACGTCTGGGTTGCCTGCACTGGGTTGCTGTGATTGTTTCTCTCCTGTTCCGGCTTGGAAATCACCGGAACCGACTTGGAAAAAAGGGCAGGCCAGCGACAAGAGATCAGGACCCTGGTCAGCTCCGTGGGGAGCAAGCATCGGAGTGTGGCTGAAAGGCAAGCCAGGGCAGCTCGCCAAGGGCATCGTCTGGCAATTGCTTGGAAGGAACTCTGAGCCCGAACAGTCCTGCCTGCCTGTAGCTCCACCCACCCTGGAGCAACCTGTGGCAACTTCAGGATCCACACATGGCTCATTAGGCGTTGTGTCTGGAAGGGCTGGTTGCCTCCTCTTGCCAGGTGGTAGGGCGATAAGAGGCAGAGAAGGAAGAGGGCAAGGCTCCCCCAGCACTGAAGGTGACAACTTTCCTGGTTCCTACGGTTGCCCAGTATGGCAAGCATTTCTGGTGCTCTCTGTAGGAGAGGTTCCTGCTGCTAGCCCTTTCTGCCCCCTCATGACAGTTTTGTAGGATGAAAAGGGGGATTCTGGAGCAGATGTTTAGAACTAGGTCCAAAAGCAGCGCTGTAGCAGAATTTCCGCTGGGTGATGAGAGCATGTTCTCCGCGCCTCTCCCTCCCCAGTTCAGCTCATTTGAAACATGAGAAGAGGGGAGAGAGGGGTCCGCTCTCCTCCATCCAGATAAAAGAGCGAAGATGCAGGGATTCACACTGTGGTGGAATTTAATGAAGTGGCTCTAAAGTGACAACCCGCCCCCCACCCCTTGTTGCCATCTTCTTAATTAAATTGCCTAATGCTGTTTGCGAGCAAGCAAAAGCTCCTGTGTTTAAAGACCATGGTGTTGCCATGGTGCTAACCCAGCGGATGGTGTGAGGCTGTGACAAAGCATACAGATTAGGCAGCCTGCAGGAGATTTGGTTGCTGCGTTACAGAGGGAGATCTGGCACACTGCATTTACAGCACCACGATGCCTTCACAGTGGTTCACTTTTGCACTGATCTTTGCTGCGTTTGTACTAAGGCATTTTGGAAATAGCCATATTCCCATTATACAGGTTGAAAAATTGAGGGGAAGTAGTAGTCATGTTTAATTTCTATTTCATTTGTAAACAATCCTTCAATTACTTGAGACGGTGGACTCACCATCTCTCCCCATACACACACACCTATTTTAATATAATAAGAGAAGTTCATGTTTATCTGTAAATTTCTCCTCTGACAATGAAGTTTGAAATAACATACAGCCAATACTAGGCATGTTTACTCAGAACTATGCCCCAAAGTTCAGTGGACTTACTCTAAGTAAATACTCATAAGCTTGCTGTCCTAAAGTAATAATTCCAGTAATGTTACTGCTGTTCTCCTAAACTTATTTCTGCTTAAGCAGTAATTAAATATAGATTTATTCAAAATGGACAGCACAGATCATTGGACCATATTTGGAAATGTGTCCACAATTGTTCTTTGTACTCACAATTGTTATAAAAGGGACAGTAAAAACAAAGCAAAACCTGCTGCAGCTTCTACAAACCTTCAGTTTTCTGAAGCTCTAAATTAGCTCAGAGAAATTTTGAAACCAGTTGCAGAACAATTCTTCAGACAAGAATATAGGCTAAACAAGAATGTTTTTGGGTGATACTAGAGCTTCTAAGCCAGAACAGCAACTGCTGTATTTGTTGATACAATCATTAGTTTGTTCATACAACTGCTACAGGCATGGTTATGCCAGTACAATAGATAGTCTGCCATACGTAGCTCAGGCTTCTTCTACTACACTGACACCAAGAAAGGTGTTTCTTGGCTGCAAGGAAGGAAGCAAAACAAGAGGAAAGGGAAGGAATAAGGAAGTTCTCTCTCTCATTTAGTTGCCTGGCAACAGCTCCCGTATAGGGAAAGCTCATTTTTCCGCTTCTCGGCACTTAGCATGCATAACGTACATACTCCTACCATTCTTACTGTCATGAAGATTTCATGGAATTTAATGCGTACTTGCATACAGTGCATCAAATGGAGCTATTCTTCACAACCCTTGCAAATGTGGGGACAGGGTTCCTTCAAGGTCAATGCTTTGAAATGGTTTATTCTGAAGTTGTCCTGATGACTTTGGGTGCTACCTCAGATGAAGTCACAGGTCAAAAGAACTGGAGGATCACACCACTGCTTAAGTGTAAGAAGGTGAGGACTGAACCTGGAACCTTCTATAAGTGCAGTGTGTCCACTCCTGCATTTGCAGTCAGCTAAAGCCCCCAGGGAATACAGAATTAAACCCCGATGGACCCTTAGTCCACAACAGTCCTATGAGTGTATGACAGATCAATGTTCCTCAATAAACTGACACACAAACGATACATTTGATTTCCAACATGGTGCCAAAGGTGTTATTTCCACAAACATATGCTCCTGTCAGCATTAACCACAAGTGACTCATCAAATGTAATTGAAATTTAATAACATAGCTATTTTATGTTAAACAAGAGGGTGTCCATTAAGAACATTTATCCAAGATTAACAGCTAGGCGATAGACACTCCAATAATCACAACTATGAAGCAGCTGATCCAGAACATGGAGAAATTAATTTGGATGTTAAAACCTCTGTGGGCTTTAAAATGTATCATTCAATAGCTGTCTTTTCCAAACAGATTCTGTTTCACATTGAACTTCATCTATTCATCCTGTGCTGGAAGAACTCATAATTTGATCTAGTAATATTTTTCATCTACACTGATCTTTCCCATATAACAAATTACAAGATTCAGAAGAAACTTAATTCAAAGTCCAAGGATCTGCTTAAGTTTGACAGAATTTTCTACCTCTGGGGAGGCTAAACCCCAGCAGCTCACAAGTGTTGGAAGGAGTCTTGCCCTTTCTTAATAGTAAAAGATCAATTTGCCCTTTCTTAATAGTAAAAGATCAATCCAGGCCCTGAGGTCTAATGTGTTAGCCCAGAACATTACAGTTATCTGAGTGTGCACTTTCATATCATTCATTTGTTTCCTTTTAAAAACCCCATTTCTATTCTGTGGTGAAACTCCAGACTGGGGGTCAGGAAACTGTGGTCCCTCAGACACTTTTGGACTACAAGTTCCATACTAGCTGTCTGGGTGAGGCTGGGGCTGATGAGAGCTGTAATCCAACATCACCTGGAACACGACAGGTTCCTCACTCTTGCTCTTGATACACATGACTGTGCAGCTGCTGCCTTCCTTTTCTGCACATGAAAGTATGCTCCATTCACAAAATGGGCTACTGTATGCATAAAACATTTATCTAATTAATTGTATATTAATTGTGGAAATCTGGCTGTCCATTAGGGGCACTGGAGATTCCACAATAGATTCAAATTAATTCAGGCTTCTATCAATCTGGCCTGTGGATGCCACAGCAGGCCAGCTTTTTCCAGGTTATGCAGATTCTGCAGACTTGCAGACCTGTTTTTCACTTCTGTGGGGGACTGGCACCAACGTGCACTAGTCTTGATGTACCTTACTGCATCAGCAGTAATATCAGTTAGCACAAATGAAAGACAATTCTCATACATCCCTAAAAAAGGAGACAACAGAACAAAAGAGCTTGACAAGTGGGAAATACCAATCGAACAAATTTATCAAAATCTGTACATCCCCATTCCCCAGGCATGCACTGGAATCTTTCCTTGCATGACTGCACTTCTGCACCTTGCTTTTAAGGCAATTTCAGAAAAAAACCCTGTTATTACCATTAAATATTCTGAAATAGTGTTTTTAAAAGCAAGTCATATATTACTTTTGGTCAGTTAATTAGTCCATTAAAAGCATAGCAGTTAATCACATTACAGGGAAAAAAAATATTCAGCTTATTGTCAGCTTGAATTTGAAAGCCGATTCATCAATAGTTCCCTCACCCAGATTTTGCACTGCTTGAGCAGCACTGATATTTAGAAAGTTTACATCAGCAGCTTGACCATTGGTCCTTGCCTAGCTTTTGCTAGATATATGTCAAAGGAGATTTGAACAATCCTTTTAACTGTGCCTAGGCAAACATTGTGCTCTGCAAAATGGTTCTTCATCAGACACTGTTCTTTAAGCATATAGTTTTAAAAGCTAGTGTGGGCATACAGAAGTTCACTTGCAGTGAAAAAACCTCCACTGCTATAGGGATGAGACTTAGAGCTGATGATGAACGCCAGTACCAGTTGCCTGCCACTGAACCCACAATAGTTCAACTCAGTGTCATTCTTGGTGGATGATTTAAAATAGTGGGTTCCCACGTGCTCACCACAAGGGTGGCTATGGGCCTTCTTTTACAGAGGCTGTTTCTCCATTTGAGCAGCTGCCAAAGGATTGTTCTTTATTTTGGAGGTGCCTTCTGTTCCAAATTCTGTCCAGTTTAAAGCTAAAGAAACAACAGAAAGGAATAATTGGGCCCTGAAGCTGCTCATCCACATCACCTGGATTACAGACTGAGGCGGCTCGCTGGTCACCTGGCCACAGCCTTCCATTCTGTGGTGAAATGCACTGTATTTGTTTCTAAATTATGATAGCATTTTTAGCTTTGCACCTATATATATTAACATACACACATTTAATGTAAATTTATGTCCTCCTTTGTCCTCTCTTTTGGCAATGCATTTCCTCTTTTCTTTTTTCTTTCTTTCTTTCTTTTTCTTGTCTTTTTTTTTTTTTTTTTTTTTTGGTCTCTTGGTAAGTCCAGCTGTTGGGCATGCTCATGAGGAGGAGGGGAGCATTATGGCAGAGTGTGGTGGGTGCCAGGACCCTGGTAGCTGCCTAGTATACTGACTACTAAGCCAACAATAGAGGTCACTTCACCTTCATATAAGGAGAAGACCTAATTCTTGTTTGTTTGCTGCATGTCACTGCTGGGATCATGGCAATGTGAGGAGAGTTGTGACACTTTTGCACACCCATGAGAGCCACAATTGCCCAAGGATGTGTGCTTTTCAACATGTTGCAGTTTTTACCATATAGGAACTTCACAGATCCTTTGCAGTGAATAGAACAGCATGCATGCTTTCTGTGACCCAGAATGGTAAAAGATGCTCTGAAAGACCATCCCATACCTATTCCTACATTCATATTCAAATTCCAGCTACAACTATTTCTGCAAAGAGCTTGAGGAAAACATATTTCTCCACGGAGTTAATATGCCTCCACAAGGTCTTTCTTTCCTCACTTTGTCCAACTATGGATCAAGCCCCACCACAGCTGTTCCTGGGTTATGCAAACTGACCTCCCACTCATTCCTGCTGCTGTCTGATCTCTTGGGAAGGGAGCACAAGCTGCTCTCATTTGCTCTTAGAGCTGACAAGCTTAGCAGAGAGAGAGAGAGAGAGAGAGAGAGAGAGAGAGAGAGAGAGAGAGAGCGAGCGAGATTTGGACTAAAGTTAGCAAACCCTTTCTCTGTCCTCTTCTTGCCTCCACTGAAGTGCTAGCCTCTGAGGAGGTTTCTTTTTTTGTTTGTGTCATTCCTGGTTACAGTTCTTATAATGCACTTCTGCTAGTTACTCAACACAGACCCTGTGCCACCAGTGTATTGGGAACAACCTTCTGATCAGAAGCTCTCAGGAGACAAGGCGCTGGCGTGGGGTCATTCAATAAATCTCTAGCTCAGCATTACATGATGCAAGACTCAACAAATCTCTAGCTCAGCATCAGATGATGCAAGGTGAAAAAAAAGGACAGAGGGAGAGGATAGAATCTGGTTTGAAAAGGAAAAGAGAGCAAGGGTAAGGGGATGGACACCTCCCCTGTCCCACAGTTGACCTCCTTGCAGCCTGCCTCTCTGGCAGTTTTTGCCCAGGTGAGATCAGGGTCAGGATTAGAGCCAAGACAAGGAGAAAAACAACCAGGGAAGGAGCTGCTGGGCACTAAACCAGAAGGGGAGAGGATTCGGCTGTTTTTACCCACACAAGCCATGACTGGATAGATTCCAAGCACATGGAACTGCCACTTTTATTTTGGCTTGCAGATAAGGATTCAGTAACAGTGCCATGCAAAACGGAAGCAACTTTGGTATGATTTAATGGTTACGTCACCACTTGATGTGATGCCATTTGTCATGGATCTCACTGCACAGTGAACATAAAAATACCTAGTGCAGGTATTTGGGGCCTTTTGGGGGTGTGGGCGTATTTGGCAGTTGGAGACACTATGCTAAGTGCTACAACAAATGACAGCAATGGGAGCTGTGGCAGAAGACAAGCAACCTGCCCCAAAGAACGAGTACCAGTCAAGAGGCAGACTCTGAGCCCCAACCCAGAATGTTCAGCACCAAGAGAAACCCATTTCATAACAATCCTAGCCTTTAAATAAAAAAAAGTGGAAAGGAGAGGCAACTAGGTAGGCACTTATAGAAGTGTCTTGCTATGCATCAGCACCTGCCAATAGCACACTGCCTAACCCTTGATCTAGTACAACATTCTGTCCCTGAGGGGCCAACCAGAAGCTTGTGAGCCACCCACAAGCACTGCCTGACTGCATCCTCCCACTCTCATTCCTAGGCAATTGGTATGTAGAGGCATCCTACTTCTGAAACTGGAGGTGTATAACTGGCAGCCACTGAAAGCTTTATCAGTGGATTTGTCCTCTATTGACCCTGAAGTCTATTTTCTTTTTCCTTCCCCTGCCTTTTTTTTCACCATTCCCCTCTCCATTTACCTTTTGCGGGAAGCAGGCAGTATTTATTTAGATTCAGGCATTTGATCAATTGCACAAATCAAAGTGGCCAAGTATTTGCCCTTACAGAAAGTCCATGTGCTGCTGAAGACGAGGAAGGAACATGTTTCCCTTTTGCATGTTATGTAAATAGGAGTTTCAGCTAATTTTATGCATGGAAAGGGGCCCTTGGGTAGGTGGGATCGATGCTCTCTTTCCCATCCTCATGAGAAAAGAACTTCTAGAGCACTCACATTACAAGCCTTGACAGTTCTAGTACTAAGATTAGAGAGAGGAAGTCGCTGAGGTTCACAGGTCATCATAAAGATTGAACATGAAAAATGTCCTCAGGTTACAGAGCAAGGAAGTACATTCCGGCCTTTGCCACTGGTCAGAGGAATGAGGACCTTTGCCCCAGCAAAGACTATGAGCAACAAGCAAATGCCAATTGGAAAATGATACCTATTTACAATGCAAAACTTCATTCTGGTATCAACAATATTCTGCCTTCCATCCCCCTTGTCTTGTGCATCTCTTTTTCATTTGTAAACCTGAAGGCAGGGTTGGTCTCCCCAAATGCAATTTCCTTGTTCTTGATGGGAGCCACTTTAAGGAACAATATTTGTCTGAAAATTGGACAGATAAGCAGATAGATAAGCATGTGCCACTTATGAAGGAGATGTGTCCTTTGCTGGTGTTGGGGCAAGGAGCAGCCATGGGTAACTATCACCAGCTGCAGATCTGCCAACTATGGTTGGATTCTGGGCTAGAAGCCAGGAGGCTGAAGTGTAGCAGATAGAGAGGCCACTGTTGAGCAGGCAAGGGCAAGAGACTAGACTGCAGTTCTTTATACCAGGCTCAGCCAGTCTAGAGGTTTCGTGGTGCCCACCAGAGGCTGATGTGACACAACCCAGCTCCTAGCACAGACCAGGTAGTGCAGTAGATGTCGCAGTTGCCAGCTATTTCTCCATCTCACCCAAGCTCTGAAGACTCTGTCCCTGAGAACTCTGTCCCTTTAACGCTGGCCAGCCCTCTCACTGACTGGTGCCAGTGTTTGCTTGTGCATTTTTAATGTGTGCATGAGCACACGTGAAAGCTGTTTTCTTTTAAAAGAACATCAGTGTTGGGACTGTGGACATTCTTTCGTGTCTTGGTCCTGCCCCAAGCTGCCTCTCCTCCATCCCTCAGAGCTGCAGTTTCCCATGGAAAGCTACTGCTGCACCAATGGAAACTGACTTATTGATCTAAATTGTGGTTTTGGAGGTGGGAGTGATTGATCTTGATGCTGCAGCATGGGAGGAAAGTGAATTTGGCCCCTCCTCACAGGCACAGCCCCTGTTCTGGCCAAGTCTCTGCAGCAGCTGTTTGTAAAAGACAACACACACCTACATATACTCATCAGCAAACTGTGAGCTTAATGTAATGTGTGGCTTGGCTCATAAATGGCGCTGTAACCAATAGCCCTCACGACAGCTCTGAAGAATGAGTGGGTAGGAGCAGAAGAAAGCAGTGGGGTCACACACGCTGGGCTAACCTGGCACCACCTCCATGCAAGCACACAAAGGTTGCAGGGGAGGCTACTGGGTGTAATTTCCCCACCCCACTTGCCTCCATGCATTAATCATCTCGTTTGTCATCTTAAAAGGACTGACGATGACAACGCAACCAGTGTGGTGGAGTGGCTGGAATGCCGGATTGGGACCCAGGAGATCTGAGTTCTAGCTTCCACTTGGCTACAAAGTTCACTGGGTAACTTTGGCCTAGTCATTGATTCTCATTTTAACCTACTTCATGGTGGTGTTGTGCAAATAAAATGGAGAGAAATTTGTAAGCCACCTTAGCAGGAAAAAGGCAGGAGATAAATATATGAAACAAATAAGGAATACTGTTGTCCATCTTTCTCCAACTTGAAATGCTCTAGATGTTTTGGACTGCAACTCCTGCTACTTCTTTTGCAGTCCAAAGCATCTGCATAGAAACAACCATGGAAAGCTGCTGTAATCTGTCAGAAGGAAATTCTGCCTTCCCAGTGTCCCTCAGAACTTTCTCAAACAACTGAGGAGCTTCCTCCAAGCAATGGATAGTTTTTCTTTAATTTAATTTTATGAATATATCCTTGTCTTGAGTGCAAAAAAAATCAATAGTGGCTCAATTGTAATTAATTCATGCCATCTGAATATTATTGATTTAACTGGCAGCTGTTTACACCTGCCTCTGCTGAGTTACAGTCCCTCTACATTGCTACAGATTCTCCTGATGAGAACCAATTGTGACATGCAACAAATTATAGAAATGTTTCAGCCTTCTCAGATATGTTTCCATCTTTTTTCTGAGCCTGTAACAAGCAGGAGGAAAGGCAGCAATTTCACAGGTAAAGCGGTTTCCCATCTGTGTATCTTCATGGCCAGGAAAGCTGCTCCCATGGTGGCACAACACAGAAGTCCTGCCAGACACAAGCCTAGATGGAAAGCTGAATTGAACCAGGTCAGAAGGGGGGCAGGTGCATCCGTTACGGCTATAGCAAGATTCAGGCTGGGACAGTTTAGCTGCTCTTACTGAACTAACTGAAGAAACACTGCCTAATTTATCATGAGGATCAGACCACTTGAGAGGTTCTGGGCTTGTGCTTTTTCACATTTTTTTCTACCCCACCCATACACTTGTGTACGATCTTGGAGAAGTTACTTGCAAGGTTTATTCCCATGGCTAGGTAGCATCTCCCCCAAAGCTGTGCATAGTGGTAGATGGCCCTAGGTTCTACCATCTCCATTTTAGTGATGACTATATTGTCTGCTTAGTTTTTTGAACAAATACCTTCATAAATGGGATGGAAATAACTTGATTAAAAAAATGAATGTGAGAAAAACTGAAACTGGAAGCATCATCAATCCAAGCAAAGTGTTTTGAGCATTTATTTCTTGAAAAGCTGTGTTTGAATCCTTGGGAAGTCAACCTGTTTGTGGTGCTGAATCAGGCTCTCCAGCTTCTTTTTTCTCACCTTTAACTGGTACCTGAAAAGCAGGTACAACTTAATAATCTCCATGCTTGGAATAGCTGGATCTATTGAATTTGGTGCAGGTGGGTTTGTTGTTCAATAAGAGCTCACTGAATTTCTTCATCAAGAGTAGAGAAATAACTTGATTTTTTTAATTGAATGTGAGGAAAAGTAAAACTGATGGATTTGTCTATCCCTGCTCTCAGTACCAGGTAGGAAACAGAGCAACATTTTTGTAGGAGGCCTTACAGTCACTGCTGGCCAGAGTAGACAATGCTGGCCTAGACAGAAATGTCATTTGATCCAGTAGGGCAACTTCCCTGCAAACCATTTCACAGGACTGAAAAGAAGCCAAATGCCAAGCCCTGGAGCTTTGCTGTCAGGCACTGGGGCAAACCTCCTGAGAATCAGGGGGCAGGATAAGGACTTTATTAATTACCGTTATTAACCTGCAGTTCAGCTAGAGACTTCACACACTAGTAATGAATAAATTTGCCAGTGGGCTCTTCAGGATCAGTAGTTAGCAAGTGCCACACAGCAACCCAATCTTCTGTCTGGGGTTCCAAGCAAAACCAATTGGGTCATTAATAACGAACCAGAACATGGCTGGCATTGAATGCTTTTTCTCATTAACATTTGACCTAGACATTTAG